GGTCCTGCCGGCTGCCCCGAGGCGGGGGCACCGGCACCACCACCCCTGCGGCAACGGGGAGCCAGCAGAGGTGGAACGGGGTGGGAAAGATACTTACAGACGCTCACGGCTCCGACTCCCTCTCCGGCGAGCCTGTTGGGAAAGGGGAAAGTAAGTGATAATGTCAAAGCACAGAGAAGATACAACATTAGTCCCCGGACCATCTAATTAGACTTTCATGACCTTTGGTAGGGACTATCCTCTGGTGGGGTATGTCTGCATGACAGGTGAAAGGTGATATTGTTCATTTTTCTTAGTGCATCAGGTTCCAGGAGCTGGAGAAACTCATCTTTTCCTAGAAAGCTCTCAACTTAAAGTATCCCTCTCTCTGCCCTTGTTTTACCTCTTGGTGCTTTTTTATATCTTCACCTATTTGGTGCTCCAGCCCATTGAGGTGAGCTGTCTCTTGGAGCCCAAGGAGATAGAGTCATAGACTTGATTAGGTTGGAAGGGACCTTGAAGATCATCAAGTCCAACCATCAACCCAACACTGCCAACTCCAACACTAAACCATGTCCCTCAGCACCACGTCTACCCATCTTTTAAATACCTCCAGGGATGGCAACTCCACCATTTCCGTGGGCAGCCTGTTCCAATACTTAACAAGACTTTCAGGGAAGAAATTTTTCCTAATATCCAATCTAAACCTTCTCTTGCGATGCGCCCTGCTCTGAAGAGCAGCATGCAACAGGTCCATGTGCTTGTTCTCACCTGCTCTCCTCTCCCTCCAGCAGCTTCCTGTAGGTCGCGATCTCGATGTCCAGGGCCAGCTTGACGTTCATTAGCTCCTGGTACTCCCGGAGCTGCCGGGCCAGGTCGGCCTTAGCCTTCTGCAGAGCATCTTCCAGCTCAGACAGTTTGGCCTTGGCATCCTTGAGGGCCATCTCCCCGCGCTCCTCCGCCTCCGCGATGGCTGCTTGGAGGTTGGCACACTAAAAGCAGGAGAAACAGGTAGTTGTTTAACTTGGGCTACCCCAAACTGCTCCTCTGAGTATTGCTATGGTAGTGCAGATACTGGCTGGTGGCTCCCAGCGTAGCACCGAGAGCTCCTGATGGGCTGTTGGGAAGGTGCCACAGGGTGGGCAACTGGGGACCTGCAGCCGTATTCCTGTCACCCAAGAAAAGGAGAGACATCTACATCTCTCTGCTTTGCTTCCCGCCTTTGTTGGAGCGGCTTAGTAGCTCACAACTTGCTTCCCCAGCAAGAAAGCAGCTATCGCAGCACATCCTTGCGCTGAGGCACCTTCTCTGGTGGGCAGAGACGGAGGTGGCCATGTCCTCTGTAATGCAGGGGAAGGTCTGGCCTTCCGGCACAGCTCAGGTGCCGGGACCCGGCTCTTCGTGCCGTGCCTGGCCACCGTCACCTCCCGCCGTCCCTCCACCGTGCAGCAGCTGCTCTGCAGGAGCATCATCCCCCTACCTGTTTCTTCACGCTCTCGATCTCATTCCGCAGCCTCTGGACCATCCGGTTGATCTCTGAAATTTCTATCTTGGTGTTGCGCAGGTCGTCGCCGTGCCGCCCGGCCGAGACCTGGAGTTCCTCGTACTGATATGCAGAAAGGAGGAGAGCGCTGGTTGGTCACCGTGGGGTGAGGAGAAGGGTGAGGGGACTTCAGGGCACAAAGCACAGGTCTGGATGCAGGTTAAGGGGTGGGGGACAACAATCCTCCGAGCAACCCGCCCGTGGAATGACAGCATTTGCCCTAAGTTATCGATATATGCTGAGAAGGCAGCTATTGCATTGCATAGAGCACCTGTGGGCTGTCACCTATGATTAAGAACCTGGAAGGGAAAGGGGAGTGCTCTGTGTTTAAGGCCAGGTCTACCGGTGACTCTTTGTGAGCTCAGGGTTAAGGCATTGAAGCATCTTGTCCCTTGGTTTCACCACAAGGAATGTAAGACTGGTCAAGTGTAGTGGTCCAAAAGTGCCCAGTTGGGGATCTGAACGCAGGAGCCTATTGCAACACGCACAGAAGGGTAAATCCATCTCTGGCGTAATTCTGTGACCCTTCCTTCTTTAGTCCTGCCTCCCGTCCGCTGGTGTGATGCCCCATGAGTCACCAAAATCACAGAATCCCAGAATGGTCAGGGTTGGAAGGTCCCTCTGGAGCTCCCCCAGTCCACCCCCCACCAGAGCAGGGGCACCTCCAGCAGTGGCACAGGACGGCGTCCAGGCGGGTTTGGGATGGCTCCAGAGGGGGAGACTCCCCCACCTCTCTGGGCAGCCTGTGCCAGTGCTCCACTACCCTCAAAGTAAAGAAGTTCCTTCTCATGTTAAGATGGAACTTCCTATGTTTGAGTTTGTGCCCGTTACCCCTCGTCCTGTCACTGGGCACCACTGAAAAAAGACCGTTCCCATCCCCCTGGCACCCTCCCTCCAAGTATTTGTATGTATTAATAAGACCCCCAATCAGTCTGTCATTCTGGTTACCCACCTTGTTTTGGTACCAAGCCTCAGCCTCCGCCCGGCTCCGGTTGGCGATATCCTCGTACTGCGCTTTGACCTCTGCGATGATGCTGTTCAGGTCCAGGCTTCGGTTGTTGTCCATGGACAGCACCACGGAGGTGTCAGACACTTGCTGCTGCATCTGGGACAATTCCTGCAGGAGATGCAAAAAAATTGAGTTACTGGTCTGGTATCTGGGGTGGGAGCCACGCAGACAGGAGGTGGCCTGGGAGCCCTCTCTGCCAAGCCATGCAGGTGTGTTTTTCCCTGCTCTGTTTCTACCTATCTGCCCTTTTTCTATCTTACGCCTGCATTATAACATCAAAAAGGCCGTGACCACCTTCTCTTTTACTGCTGTACAGCACTGAGCACGGTGGCCGGAGCTGCGGGACACGGCGAGCCGTACGGCAGGGAGCTGTGGAGGACGCTATCGCGGGGATGACCGACGGCTTACCGCTTCGTAGAGAGCTCTCAGGAAGTTGATTTCATCTGCCAGTGCGTCTGCTTTGGCCTGCAGCTCAACCTTGTTCATATAAGCACCGTCCACATCCTAAAGAGAAGAAAACCACGTGAAACCACAAACTGAAGGGGCTTCAGGGCACCAGTGGGATCATCTCTCTGCTTCCAGGTCTGTTACTCTTTAGGTTTGTTTTTATATTGCTACGATCACGGGGTTTTGGTGTTTCTAACGTAATGTTGGACATTTTCCATGAGCCAGAACCAGGTTCTTGGGCAGAAGGCGAAGCTCCGGCTCCCGGGGATGTGACCCGAGGCAGAGCTGAACTGAGGTACAAGAGACCAGATGGCTTCCAACTGCAACCAGAGGAGCCATCTCCAGAGAACGGGGCAGCTCCATCAGCTCCGTCCTGGCCTCAGGCAGACCCGGCCCATGCCCACTCCTAGATGTACCGACATCGTAGCCTGACCCGACCGTGGGGCTGGAGGACTCCAGTTCCCATCAGCTTTGCTGGAACTTGGGGCATGCCAGGGTAATTTCACTGTCCTTCCCATAACTCCCAGTTCACTCACCTTCTTGAGGACCACGAACTCGTTCTCTGCACCAGTGCGCCGGTTGATCTCATCTTCGTATCTGTTAGGATAAACGAGCGAGAGGGGTTTTGGTGGAAATGAAGAGAAAAGCCAACGTGGGGAGTAAAGATGGGACCACTCCAGTCCCAAATCATCTGTTGTGGCTCACGGGTATATTCCTTACGCCCACCTCTTCACAGTCCAGAGCAGATGCAGAGCAAATGATTACTGACCCTGCTGTGAATAGTCCCGGCTAAAATTAATGGATTTTAATCACTGCCCTTATAGCCAAGCTTATGCATAAATGCGTGCAGGATCAGAGCCCGTTTGGGTCGGGAGCAGGAGTTCTTGGTGACCTTTGCCCAAAGCAAAGTTGTGCAAAAGGTTTTCCACAAAGCTGCGTTGCAATGCCTACAAATATATAATAATGTACCTATTTGATATTTGATATTATAATAATGCTAATGGCTGTGAACAACCCGCTGCAGCATTTAATTAAAAAATAAATAAAAAAATTAAAAAAAAAAAAATCTATGATTCTTTAGCCGGGGTTGTGCAAGAGCAGATCGTTATGCCTCAGACTATGTTTCTGTGGAACTTTTTATGGCTCTGAGCAACATCCTCTCATCAGATAAACCAGGGCAGGGCTTAGCTAGAAAGTAGACAAAACATGTAGGCTCTTGAGGCAAAGACCTGGATTTTAAAGGCAGGTCCGTGCCAGTCCTCTGAGTGATACTGGCAGAGCCGTCCCTGCAGATGGATCTCCGAGTGGACACAGGGAGAAGTGGAAATCGGCCAGTGCACTGGGAACCAACTTGAAACCAACTCAAAATTTGGGGGGAAAAAAACCAACTTTCTCTTTCCCGAGCAGTAGCTCCAAAATCCAGACAATATCACGTGTCATTTTTGGCCCGATCGGTATTTCTAAAAGCCTCTCATACATATCAAGACCTGAAATGCTCCCACGTACGGCACGCGGGAGCTGTCAGTCCGTCCCGTCAGCTCTAAGGGCCGTCCCACCGTCCCCCCACAAACACCCCCCCCAAAAAAACCCCTGTCTCTTCACATGCTCAACTATCTAATATAAACATTTCAGGCCTCCAGGGTGTTTTTTCTCAAATTTGCATTTGGCCAGATCTGGTTGGATAAGGCGGAGATTGCTCTCGCCAGACTACAGCCAACTAAAAATGCTCGGCCTCGCCCAGAAAAACCACCTAAATGTCCCTTGTAGTCCGCAGCCGCCGACTGGCGTGTCCTGAAAAGGATCCATCCCACCTCTGCTGGATGCCTTCTCTCGGGGTGGGATTAATTCCCTCCCCCAGGACAGCCTTGTCTTTGCCGAGGGCCAGAGAAAGGCGCTGAGCATCCTTCGTGCGCTCAGAGCTGGGCGAGGGGCCCTCTGGGGAGGTTGGAGTCTCCTTGGCACGAAGAGAAATGGGGGATTTGGGGAGCTGGCAGCGTGCGGCGGTGTTTCGTTCCCTGTTTGCCTGTCCGTTATATTCATCGGTTATGTGTTTTTCTGTCTCCAGGTGTATTATTTCGGGAGACTCGAGGGATCAGGCTGTCACCTCCGTTACGCCGGAGCAGCTTCCCGCGGGCGCGTGAATTCTGTGCTAAACGCTGACCCTGCGTGTAAGAACTCTGATCGAACTAGAGAGAATTCCGAGACCAAATTTTGCTTTTATACGTTCGTTTTGCAAACCGGGAAGGGGAACCCGGTGCAAACACCGGGTGTGCAGCAGCCGACGCAAAGCCCCTGCCCCGATTTTCCCGATCATCTACGCTACAGAGCGCGATTTCTTACTTGTTCTTAAAGTCTTCCACCATGTCCTGCATGTTCCTCAGTTCCGAGTCCAACCGTCCCCTCTCTCCCATAAGACTGTCGAGCTGCCGCCTGAGGTTGTTGATGTAGGCTTCGAAAAGGGGCTCGAGGGACTTTCTGGTGACTGTGTGACCTTGCTCTTGCAGGAGGCTCCACTTGGTCTCCAGCACTTTGTTCTGCTGCTCCAAAAAGCGCACCTGGAGAGAAAGAAAAACAGGCACGTGCTGAAGCCCCGGTGAACAAAGCACACGCGAAAAAAAACCACCCCACCGAGCTGCCAGGAAAATGGGGGATCCTTCACGGCAAAAAGAAAAGGTCAGGAGAGGCTGGGAAGGTGTCAGGGGGGAATTATTTGGATCTTCCTAATTTAGGGCACCGGATTCTCAAAAGTATCGAAAGCAACTAAGAGGGTTAGTGAGGTTTTTCCAAGAGCTGTTAAGAAGGCCAAACACCCGTGTTTGCAACTTTCTCCCCCCTCTAGAGGCTCAGCCCACCTTCCTGGTTTAAACTGGTGTCATCCCATTGAGTTGTGTAGAGCTGTGCCATTTTACAACCGGCAGAAGATCCATCCAGCCCCCCAGGATGGTTTTTACAGGGAGGAGAGGGGGATTTACTTTCTCTATAAAATAAGGCACTGAAAAGCTCATCCTTGCAAAGAGGCAACATCAGACGGTTCTTAGTTTTCAGCCAAACCCACGCTGTGTGTCGTCTGGGATTAGTTCAGGCAAGCCCCTAAATCCAAAGGAGGTTTCTTCCTGGTGCTCTTTCCCGAGGCAACTGTTTTAAAATGCATGGCTCCGTGTTTAAGACCAAATTCTCACCTTGTCGATGAAGGAGGCAAATTTGTTGTTGAGGGTCTTGATCTGCTCCCGCTCCTGTGTTCGCACCTTCTGGATTTCTGGGTCGATATCCAGCTTGAGGGGTGCCAGGAGGCTCTGGTTGACAGTCACTTCGTGGATGCCACCAGGTGGGCAAACAGGGAACCCAGGGCCACCTCGACTACCTAATCCACCGAGACCTCCCACCCCAAATCCGCTGCCCAGCCCATAGCCGCCACCACCACCAGCTCCTCCTAAGCCAAAACCGGTGCCTGCTCCACCACCATAGCAAAGACCAAAGCCAGCTCCTCCACCAAAGCCGTATCCACCACCGGCTCCGCTCCGTAGACCTCCACCGACTGAGCTGTAGGAAATTCTTTTGCTTCCACCTAGGTTATAGAGACTTCTGCTGCCAAAGCCACCACCAGCTCCGAAGCCTCCTCCGCCTCCGGATCTTCCTCCTCCAACTCTGGAGACAGAGACGGAGCTAAAACTGCTTCTGGTACCACTGCCACCTCCTACGATAGCAGAACCTGAGCTAAAGCCCCTCATGCCCCCTCCAGTAGATGATCTGAAAGAGATCCGACTCATGGTGGCTTGTTCAGTTGGAAATGAAAAGAGCAGGAGGGTGGGGGGGTGGAAAAAAGGCTGGTGAATAAAAGCTGCGCGGCAGGAAAAGAGCAGAGGGCAACGGAGACAGAAACCCCTGTGATGGGAGAGCTCGGGAGCCTCCTCTTTTATCTGCTTGGAAAACTTGGCACGGGAATTCAGAACTTGACGTGCCTTGCAGCAACTTGCCTTGTCAAACACACCTAGGCTACGGCGAGGCGCTGAAAAATGCATTGTTTGCAGGCAAGAAAGTAACGGAGCGAGGGAGCTCCCCCCTCTTACCAAAGCCTGCCGCTCTGAGTCATGAAATTAGAATTGAATGGGACGAGGTGCTGAGGTCTGCGCGCAGGAGCAGGACGCAACACGATTCTCCCAAGACCCTGGGAGCCGGTTTTCCTTAGGCGAGCCAAGGGCTCGCTCCTCCGAGGAAGGCTCCTTTGCGCTGAAGCTTTTCCAGGGATCAAGCGGAGGGTTTTAACACGTTGCACAGTAAACGGCAGCATAAATAGGGGCTTTTCCGAGGCCACCGGTTCTGGGACTGGACACGCGGGTGGTGTTTGGGGCTGGGGAAAGCTGGGGCTGAAGGTGGTTTTATTTATCAGCCCGGCTCTTTCCGTTCCCGTCGGAAAAGAGATCTAAATGGTCGTGGGCTCGCAGAGATGAGCTGCGCGGAAGGTGTCTTGTGGTGGGATTTTCTGGAATCTTACCCGCCAAAAGATTGTCTCCCTCATGGCAGGGGAAACTGAGGAATTAGTGAGCACGGCTTTCAAAGACGGCAAGTGAATCCCCTTTCCCAAATAACTTCAAATTACATTAAATAGTACTACGAGACTTATAAAATAGTTATTAAAAAGATGCTCGAAATGATGGCTCTTCTTTTGAATCTCCTCGTCAGGCTCAGGGTTCAAAAGCTCCCTGTGAAGTGGTATTTCGATCACTTTTGTTCCACCCCCTTACATTTAACCAGCCGTTTCCACGTCATTGCTGGCTCTGAGACGTTCCGCGAAGGGGAATTCACCCGCTTTCCTCCCAGCTCCCTCCCACCCCCTCCTTCACTCTGCTGAGATCATTCCGTTGGAAAATTGTTCTAAAATAGACTTTTCCCTTTGATCTTAGGTGAACCCCCACCGTGGAGCTTCCACCCCCGTGCTGAGGCCGGGTCGTGATTTAGGACGTCGGGAAGGCGGGAGGGCTGGGGACCTCTTCGCTTGTGCCCGGGAAGAGCTGGACCCGGGTTACAAGAGAAGATATCCCCTTCCTCCCACCCAAAATCGATCTGCCAACTGGATTCCGCCCAGCCGCGTCCTCGAGCCGCAAGGGCTGCCCGCCTTGGTCGTGTTATATGGCAGATAAAACGATAGCGCGAGGCGGAGAGATGAAACCCCAGGCAGCTAAATCAGAAGGGTTCTCGAAATCGGCTACGTGAGCGATAAGTACGGGAACTCGATCCAAAAATGAGCGGCTTAAGGGTATCTGCTGCATCTCGTAGCGTGTTTCTGTTGATGTGTTTCCAACCGCCGTCTTCTCTGGCTGGGGACTGGAAAGAACCTGAGCAGAAGGGGTTTTTTTGGTTTGTTTTGTATCGGTTTTGTTGTTTTGGGGGGTTTGGGGTGGGTTTTTTTGTTGTGTTTTGTTTTCTCGTTGCAATCAGAAGCAGCCAGCGCTCCCAACGCGCATCTCCTGCGAGCGCTCCTCGTCGCTGCTCATTGCCAACGGGGTGAGTCAGCGGCACCCGCAGCGCCTCGGGGAAGCCGATCCTTGGACGGGCTGCTGGGAGGGAGACGGCGGCGGGGTGGTAGCAAGGGGGTGCTCTCGCCTCGGGAGTGGAGACGTGGGAACCTCCCGGCTGCTGGAAACGGTGGAGTTTCGTAGGGAAAACTGCACCCACGCTCGCCCCGTCCAGAAGCAACGAAGCCCCATGGCAATGCAGAGGCGCCCCCCCAGCCCGTAACGCCGCCGGGGTCGTGCCGGTATTGGCCAAATAATCAATAAATTCTGTTACGAGCACGGCAGAGGTACGGAGATTTGCTTGCTGAAGGCTGCGGGTGTGAATCGGCACACGTGTGCCGGGTCCCGTGGAGGGGGGCCGGGCAGGGAGTCTGCCTTTGACTCCCGAAAAGAGCTATGCAAAGTCACACCTGGGAACCAGAGCGCAGGCTGGAAGTGGTTTAATTAAAGCGAAGAGCAAGGATTTGTGTTGAAGGCAGTCATTACCTCCCCGGCTCTTCTAGGAAAGCCTGTTGCTGCAGACAACGGCAATTAAGTGGAATATTACGAAGGATTTGGAAGAGTAAAGGGAATGATGGTTTAGGCACCAAAACAAGGCAAATTCTTGCAGAATCTCTCAGTCCCACACGGTTTCCTTGCTTGGCTGCTGTCGCTCGCTGTCCTCCCGGGGCGGCTCGGGGCTGCGTTTGCCCCCTCGGATGGCATTTTGGGAGGCAGGGATGGGATTTTGGGAGGCAGGGATGGCATTTGGGGAGGCAGGGGCGGGATTTTGGGAGGCAGGGGCGGGCCT